GTCCCTGGCTCCTGTGCAACTGGAGCGTGTGAAATTGGTTCTGAAACATGAGACTGTAACCATGAATGCTCTTGGGTGTGAAAGGTGCAGTCTGACAGGGCCTGCTTAAATGTGTCATAATTCACCTGCCATTGTAGATACCTCAAGGATGGATAAAACTCTATGAAGTGAAAAGGGCGAGTGAGCGGGCTCTTTCTGAGTGCTTTCCGATGCCAAGGGAGCATTTTATTCTTCCTTCAGATACGTTCTTAGCAAAGGGCTTTGCTACTCTGGAGAAATTGAAGGACCTCTGTAATGAAGGGAAAGAACATCCATCCACACTTTTACAGCTCTATGCGCAGGTAGTACAATTCAAGCATTAAGAACTCTATTTTAGACTATCCCTTCTGTAGGAGGGCATGGGAGAGGGCTGAGTGTAAGAGGGTGGTAGCAGAAAAGGACGTCTGTGTGTGCAGTGAACATCCATGAAGTACAGGGCTGCTTTTGTTTGGATTAGAAGATGACTTAAGAGTTGATAAGAATTGTGCTAGTAGTGTTAAGGACAGAGAGGGTTTTAAGTTTATGTTCAACGTTAGCAATCCTACAATACATTTAAATTGCAGCTTTTGTAAGCTAAATGTTAACAATTACCCTAAAATTGTAATATTTGTATAAACTCTAACGTTGCATGTTGCTGCAGACCATGATCTGATTATTTTCCTGGTAGCATTTTTACGTTGTGTATCTTCTTTCATAGGCTGTCTTAGACATTACATATTTTGAGGAAAATCAGCTTGTGGATGAAGATTTTCCAGAAGAATCTTCCATGCAAAAGGTTAAAGAACTTATTTGTATTCTTTCAGAACCTGAAGTCTTAGTGAGGGAATGCAACATAAATGAAGAAGTGAGTACTAATGTTATTCAGCCAGAGAATTAGTTATTTCATTTTCTAAAAATAAAAAATCTGAAACAGAATAGTAATGTTTGTATTTTTGATGGACAGATCTTTTGAAACAGTTTCAAGTTTTCTTTGCGTATAGATAGTGATTACTGAAAATATTTTTTCAAATAATTTTTCTTTCTAACATTTAGTGATTCCAGATGCTTTGAACAGTTTAAATGCAAAGTATTAGGCTCTTCTCTGTGACCGTTGCTGTTAAGTACAGCCTCTAAAGTTAGAGACTTAATATCACAGTTTGCATGTGTGAGCATGTATGTGAGTTGTTCAGATGCTTTACTTTTAGGTTAGCCCAGCATATTGGATTTTATTTCAGCCCATCAACATCCTTGATGCAGAGTTGTTAGAATGTCTTTACTGGAGAAAAGGAGCCCTGCTTTACATGTTTTGTCATACAGCAAAAGAAAGGAGTGAATGGCTACGGGAAAACATTGCCATATTTAAAAAGGTAAAGGAGATTAAAAAAAGTTTTGTGAGTATGTGAATACGGTTTTAAAGTCTGACTCTTCTCTTTTAAAATACAGCTTTTTTTTTTTTTTCTTTTAAATAGAGTTTTGGGAAATTCATAGCGAGAAGTATTTCTGGCAGTCATAAAATTAATCAGAACTTGTCTAAAACAGGAAAAAAATTCCCCTCATTGTCTTAGTGTCTTTTTCCCCTCAGTGTCTTAGTGATGGAGTTCATTACTTGATGGAGATGCTCAGCTTTAGATGCCCTCTGCAGCTAAATGAAGATGTCTCACTTCAAGATAAAGACACAGCTAGATTACTCAGTGAAGGTAAAATAAAAAAGCCCTCCAAAAACCCCACAGCCTCCTCCCTGTAATAACTTCTCCACTTTATGAAATGTTTTATTGCATATTTTTGTTGTTTTTCTTCATTAGCATTCAAAAACTGTCACTTTTTAGAACAACAACAAAAAATGATGAGACAGATAAGCAGGCAGCATTGATCCCTCCCCTTCTTTTTGTCTCATGGATATTAGGAGGTGGCAGTGCTCATTTTCTTTATGTTTTTGAGTGCACTGGAGGAAAGTGAACTGAGGCAATTGATGTTTTATGCAGAGCATGTGCTTTACAACCATCTAATTGTCAGCTGACAAAGGCTGACAGCACAGATATGTGCAGAGAGGTGCTAGATATTCCCATGTTGGTCTTCCTGTTTAGATCTAGGAGAAAACAGGTAGGAACACAGAATTGTTGACTTCACACAGGTAGAAAGTACGTGCGGAATTGGTTAAAACAGGGAAACTTAACTCTGTCTCCACTTTATGTAGCTTTATGTAAGTTGCATTACTGCAGTGCATTTACATGAGGATCTAAGACTGCATCAGTGTGATGCAGCTGGAGGGGATTTGTAAGGCAAAACAGCTGGTGCTGAGGACATGATGTCCATATTGTACATACTCAAAACCAGCTCTGCTCTGGCAGTAGGGGGATGGAACACCTTCTTGCTTAGTTCATCTGAAAGTGGGATTGATCCAGTTCAGCTCCACAATGCAAAGCCAAATTCAGTAACTAATTTGTAGATTTATTTATCAGGTTTTTTTCTTTTTTTTTTTTCAGTGACCACGGACACATATGTGGCTTTCTTTTCAAATACTAAAGCTGCTGGTGGCTAACCTCAGTTGACATGATGCTCAAAATAGCATCTTCTTTTAGGCTTAAATTGTAGGAGGCACAGAAATATTCTAAAATAAAAGTGCATGCCTGCACTTAATGTGTTTTAAAGAAATACAGACATTCTCTAAGATAAATAGTCTAACACAGTTATGAGAATAATATTTATATGGCAGTCTTAAAGATTTTAGCATTATGGACGGGCAGAATAGACTAATGAGCAGGGCCTTGTGTCAGGTTCTCTTCTTGGCAGTGTCAGTCATCTCGTGGTTAAAATTTGGTTTTTTGGTGTACCTCTTTAATAGTCTTATATTGCCTTTTGGATTTTTTTTTTCCGGTGCTACTAAAAAAACCCTTCTGAAGGTAAAAAGCTGAACAATAAAGCACTTGATCTGAATTGTTTTTGCAGGTATATTTAGTGACACTCACTTACTGGCAATGATGTACAGTGGAGAAATGTGCTACTGGGGACTGCGACACTGTGGAGAAGGGAGGCGGGAAAGCCTTGAGATGATAGAGCCAGTCTGTAACAGTGACCTGGGCTGCACAGCACAGAGTGTCTCACTGGATTTCCGAGAATCGGGCAAAAACATGTTAACAAAGTATGTGGCAGTATGTGAGGGCCCTTTAAAAGACCAAGGGTGGAACACAACAACTGCAAAACAAATGTTGCGTCACTTCCTGAAATCCCACAACTGAAATACCGTGTTGGCTGTGCTGGAAGAAACTGCGTGTCCGGACAGAACGCTTAGGGAAGTGGTGTCTGTTTCCGTGTCCGACTGTTCTTATCAAAATGTATACTTTTGTTGTATTAAAAACATGCAAAAAACTCCTGGAATCCAAGGTCCAAAGTTCAATCATGTATTTTGAGGGGGAAGAAAATTTTAAAAAAGAAAAAAGATTGTGTAATAAACTCACGCAAGGATGACCACGTAGCGGAGCTGTCCGCAAGTCAGTTGGCGCCGGCGCGCTAGACGCGAGGGGCGGCGGGGATCAGTGCCATGGCTGCCGGTGGAGCGGAGGAGCGGGGCGGTTTGGAAGCCACGGTGTGGGGTCGGCTGCGCATCCTCCGGGAGCGCTGGACGCGAGGGGTCCGCGAACGCAGCGGTGTCGCAGCGCTCCCGGAGGACGTGGAGGAGGTGAGCGCCTTACAGATGCTGCCGGTGAGTGTGTCCCAGGTTGGGGAGTGGGGAGAAGCTCGTCATCCTGCCCCCTTACATTTTCACTATTCAGTTCTTGGGTCGTTACACTGCTGTTCTGGATGGTTTTCAGATTGACGTGCAGCTGCACATCATGTCCTTCCTCTCGCCCCAAGATTTGTGCCATTTGGGAAGTACGAGTTGTTATTGGAGGGCGGCTGTGCAAGATCCGTTGTTGTGGAGGTGTTTTCTTCTGAGGGATCTTCCCTTTTGGACATCTATTGATTGGAAATCACTCCCAGATGTGGAGATTTTTAATAAAGCCTTTTCAGAGGTCAGCGATACTGTCCTGTACGATTACATGGCAGTGTAAGTATCTTCACACTGTCTAAAAATGACTTTTGTCTTGCCACAGGAGTAATTATTCAGGCATATTTACAGCAGTAAAGCTGTGCTTTAAGCCACTGCTTAAATTCTCAAATCCATTGTTTATTTGATAAATACAATTTCCTGTTCTTTGACAGTTTGGGCAGATCTTTCTGTTTGGAATTCAACAGGTATGTAAAAGGTTGTAAAAAAAAATCAAAGCTAACTTTAAAGTCTTCAAACTACAGCACATGGAATGAATCTTAATTTTTTTCATCTTACCTGGAAGATCTAGGGAAAAAAGAGTTGTTTTTGAATGTGCATAGAATAGTATTGCTTTAGCTCTGATGATCAAAGGCTGTAAGACAAAGACTGTGATTTCAGCTGGTGTACTTGAAAAACACAGCAATGCTCAGAATGAGTCTGAATGACTGAGAAGAGCTCTCAAGAAGATTATTCTGCAGGGGTTTTTTTTAAACTTCTTTCAATTGCCTGAATTGATTTGCACCATTTTTTTTTTTTCAATTTGAAGTTAAATTTTCCAAAGGTGATTTAATTAAACTGTTGCTTGATGATAACTGTACTAACCTCTGCAATCTCTGTGCCCTTCACTTTACACAGATTTCAAAGACACACACAGAATTTGAAGTGAAAGATATCTACTGATTTTGAACATTGCATTTAAATTTCTTTAGGTCTGAATAAGAGCATCACATATCTGAAACCACCTGTTGCGGATTTCTGTTGTGTGTAGAGGAGCACACATTTAATGTTTCCTTGAGGTGATTTGTCCAGCAGCAGCCTACCTCGGCCAGAGAAGCGAACACAGAAGCTGCTTCGCTAGGATGTCTGTCACTTCTGTGGCTGTTACTTCTTTCCCTTGATTACCAAAGTCTTTTTATGCCTTGTAGCTTCTGCATCAAATGAACATAGAAGCTTGCAGACACCACTTATCTCCTTTCACAACATGCATTCCATGTGTCTACGGGAGACATGATCCTTTCCAGGTGGAGTTACTTGTTTCATAGTTAATAAAAGTGGTCTAATTAAGGTTTGAAATGCACTCAAAAGTCTTGTATTTTTTATGTTGTATGTGACTCATCAGCTTTGATGTTACTTTACAAATATTGTGTGTTCAGCAAGGGTGGTGGAATTTATAATTTTATTTTATTTTTTGAAGTAAACTAAAAGATCCATAGATAGAAGTGTACGAAGGTTCAAAAAGCATTTGGACTTTGAAAGGACTGATGCCTGTACCTACTTTGTAGTGGTGCTTGAAATCATCAGTTTGGAACATTATAATTTTTGACCTGTGCTTGAGTTGTACTGGTAACAAAGCATGAGAAATATGGGATCTAAATTCATGTTGCTTGATTAATACCTTTTCTGTATTTTGTGTTTAATTTCTAGTTGCATCTATTTTACACAGATATAAAAAAAGCTGTCCTCAGGGTAGAAGAAGTTTGAAAACAAGCCGACCCCGATATGGGGCTATGACTTCGTTTTTGCAGTCACTGGTCACTCAAGCAGAACCTCGCTTTGCTATGTTTGGTCTGGGGTTGGAAGAACTGGATGAGTCATTAGTGCAAAAGATGATGACATGCCCAGAAATTCTGCTAGTGGCTGGCCTACCTCAAAGACAAATTCATGGTAATGCTGGTTTTGATTTTTTCTTAGTTTATTTTGTAAACAGATAGAATACAAAAAAACATTGGGGGAGAAATGGAAAGAAGGGATGGTTTTTCCCTACTTGAAACTCAGTAGCATAATGGTAAAAAAAAAGCATATATTTTCTCTCTTTGTATTTATTCAGAAGGATAATGAAATGAATATTTGGCATAAAATTATAGCTGCGGTGAATTCATGATTAAATTCACACGATGTCAGAGGGGTCATTTGGCTCCATATAGGTCTGTTTTGATCCTAAATTCCATGCCACAGCTGCTGTTGAAGTGGATGAATGCAGACAGAACTTTCTTTAGATGCTGCTTGCAGTAAGTGGCTAAAAAACACACATGTTTTTATACAGGAAGTCTAGACTGATCCTTTATGTGATTCAGTCTTGTGGTGTCAAATGGTGTTAACTTCATTTAAAAGAGTTGTAGGAGCAGGTGAAAGATTTTTTTTTTCTTTTTTCGATGTTTAAAAACATAGTTTTGGACATCTGTAATTTAACTTCAGTCCAAACCAGAGAAAAAAAATTATTAATTTTTAACTGATGTTTATTTAAGGACACCAGTATTAGAAGAATTTAATTGTGTTTATGGAAAATGTGAAAATATGACTCTTACTGCTATTATCTTTTTTTTTCTCTTACGTCCTTTTCAGTGCAGCTTCTCATAAGCAAACTAGAGCCTTTGCTATGCCAGTTTCAGCTAATAGATGCAAGTCTAGCTCTTCTCTGACTTAGGTTTCTAAGTTCAAATCTAAGTATCAAAACCATGGAAATGCCTCCTTGTTTTCTTTTAATACTATTGAATTGATTTTAATTAAATTGATCAATTAGAGCATGTATAAAATTTTGTCATAAAACAGAAAATATGCTATCCCTAACAGCAACACCTAGGCCTGGATATATCCATTTTATAGCACCACTGGAATTGTCAGCCTGCCACTTGGTTGTATTCGGTAACCAAATAGTTGTAAATCTCATAGTTTCATTTCTTCCTTGTAGGAATTGGATCAGGAGTCAGTTTTCAGTTTAATAACAGTCAAAAATTCAATATTCTGACATTGTATTCAACCATGAGGTAAGATTTGTTCTCCACATTAAAAAAATTATTCCAATTTCTCAGTTATTTCATACTTTTCCTCATGGTTTTTTCATGTGATTTTTGTGCATACATTCACGTGCATGGATATCCCTTTATAGAAGCTTCAATGCATATCATAACTTTTTCTTTCTTTCTCCAGCTGCTAAATTTTGACATGGAAGTAATAAACCTTCTTTCCCACACAACATACATAACAATTGTGTATTCCAAATACATAACAGGTGCTCCTATCCCTCTTGGCACCTTGAGTGATTCCCTTTTGAAACACTATATAAACTCATCCTGGGGTGTATTTTCGTACGCACCTTGCAGATTGCTAACCATCTGCATATGTACACTAGCAAAAAATGGGAGGGTGGGGAGGAGAAACTAAACACTTTATCTGCCTTAGGCTGTTTTACTGTCGCTTTTCTGTGCTGCCTAGACTTGTGTTCGTGCATTCTCTACACAACTAGCCTGACTACTGAAATATTTCAATATCTTTCAGTGTGGAAAGGAGGAGAGCAAGGGCAGAGCAAGCTGTTGCTGTGAATAAGATGTTCTTCCAGGAGAACAACGTAGTAGGGAATCAGCAAGCTGTGCATTACAGTGTAATAGCTCAAGTTAAAAAGGTGTGCGAAGTAGTTGATGGATTCATTTATGTTGCTAATGCAGAAGCTCGTAAAAGTAAGAGGTTTCTCCTTATTGGTATTTTTTTGAATTACCCGAATGTTGTAAGAGATTGCAAAGAATATGGAATACATCAAAATCCATGTTCTGATTGTTTCAAAATCTGTTTCATTAGTGCTATTTCTTCATGGTTAATCCGGTTGAAGAGGTACCCTGTCATAGACGTTCTCCCTGATTTCCGTGTGAGGAATTGGGGCCCCTTGTTTTGTTTATGGCTGGTACTGACGTGGCTGCTCTCTAAGCTAGATGTGGGAAATGATCTGGACTAGAAAAAAAACCAAAACAAACCATGGAAGTGGGTTGGAGAAAAAGACTGAAATACATCAGTGATGATGTAATAATGTGGAAACAGAGCCTTCATCAGGAAAACTGCAGTAAAGGATGCACTTATCCAAATGAGGATAGTCCTATAACAAGAATAATCCAAACCCCTGTTATGGTAATTGTCTTTACATGAATCAACTTTGAATGGGGGAAAAGGCTAGCTCGGGAAAGAGAGTAAAAAAAAAAAAAAAGTGAGGAGATACACTAAGGATACAAGCAGGGAAGGACTGCTGTCTGGAGTGTGTCAGTATTTCTTAATGGCTTGTTGCAATTTTGATCTCTGTAGAGAAAACACTCTGATGTTAAGGACTGGAACAGGCTGCCGGGAGAATCTGTGGCTTGGTGAAGGGTCTAGGGAGCAATGAGGGGCATCTGAGGGAACTGGGGTTGTTTAGTCTGCAGAAAAGGAGGCTGAGAGGAGACCTTATCGCTCTCCACAACTACCTGAAAGGAGGTTGTAGCGAGGTGGGTGTCGGTATCTTGTCCCAAATAACAAGCAATAGGACAAGAGGAAACAGCCTCAAGATGCACCATGGAAGGTTTGAATTGGATATTGGGAAAAATTTTGTAACTGAAAGGGTTATCAAGCACTGGAACAGGCTACCCAGGGAAGTGGTTGAGTCACCATCTCTGGAGATATTGAAAAGAAGTGTAGATGTGGCACTTAGGAACAGTGTTTAGTGGTGGACTTCTCAGTGTTAGGTTAGTGGTTAGAGTTGATAATCTTGAAGGTCTTTTTCAACCTAAATGATTCTGTGATTCTGTGAATGTGGATTATCCAGCCTTGAGATAAGCAGGACTAGGAAATTTGTCCATGTCCCTTCCCCTACGTTTTCTCATCTCTGAAATCTTAAATATTTGAAAAGTAAAAAAAAAAAAAAAAAAAGTTCATGGGATTTGCATATATTTCATACTGATATATTAAAAATTGTTTCCTAGACCATGATCGTCAAGAGGAACTGGCTCGTATTTTGGCAATGATTGATCCAGCCCTTGGACCTCCGAATAGACCTCTGCTAGTTTTGTCTTGCGTCTCGCACGTTGGTGTGAAAAGAATTCCATGTGTTTACATGGCACATCAGTTGCAGCTAAATCTGCTACATCGGCCCTGGATGGTACTTATTTTTAAACCTTTATTGTCTGTTTCTCTGTGGCTTAAATGTAATTTAGGCTTACGGTAGTTCCTAAACTGTACCCACCTAAGCAAGTGTGCGGCTTTCAACACTAGGATGTGAGCTCTCCACTTAAGTGAAGAATTCAGTTTCTCTTGTTCTCCAAGACGATGCATTGGCCTGTCTGAACCTAGAGGAGCTAAGCGACATGCCCAGGAACATGCAAGAATCTTCAGCTAGAGCCAGAATGTAAAGAAGGATGAAATGCTGTTCTCAAAGGGAGTAAGGAATCAGTTAATTTAAATCTAGGTTTCCCAAGTCTCGGCACAAAGTCTTGGCCACAAGGTAGATTTTTATGCCATCTTCAGGAGACAGTTAGTTGTCACTCACTTGATGTGGTATATTGAGGTTTTGGCAAATCAGTTTTTCACCTAGCACATGAGGTCCTGAACCTGTTCTTTTATGCCCGTTGAGCACAGTATATATCGGTATGGCTCAGTAACACATAATTTATTTTTGGTGATGTTGTGTAGCCGAAGGATAATAGTTAATCAGAAAAAAAAGTCATGATTTAAGATAATTCCTTTGTTTTCCTAAGGAAAATATTGATATCAAGAATGCAAGGCTTTCTGAATGGGTCTCATAATTAATTCTGTAAAGAATAGTGTTTCCTTTTTGTACCTTGCTCTTAAGAAACCTTTTCTGTCTGAGGGACCTTTAAATCAGTGATAAAAATGTAGATTTGAGATAAGTATTTCTGACTGTAAGGATAGATAGACATGGAGTGATGGTAAAATACTGTTAGATCCATTACCTGTTATCCGTAATACATTACCTGTTTTTATTTTTACAGGTGCAGGACACTGTAGCTGCAACTTTAGCTGGATTGCTAAGTGGAATTGAGTGGCTCCTGGAAGAAGCAGATTGTAAAAATGCACAGTAATTGAACTCTGCATTGGTTTACTGTTAAGAGACTTCAGCATTTTGCAGTTCAGATGAAGTGAGAATTTTTTCCTGACACGGCACTGTCAGAAGAGAGATTTAAAAGACAAAGCTGCATATATTTCACTGCACGTACTATAATAATTAACATTCGTCAAACAGTTGTCCTGCATTAGAAATACAAGTAGGATTGCCTGGATTCCAGCAGCTGATGAAGAGGTGATTTTGGGAGCACAATCTGGGTGTTTTGGGGTTTTTTTCGTTTTGTTCAAGCTGTGGCCTCCAGGGTGTAGTCTTTTCTCAGTATATCTGATAATCTCATCAATTCTGTACCTATACCTAACACTAGGTTAGCTTATCAGCACAGCCCTATGGCACACATTGCCCATTTAATATTAAGTGGAGATCTTGACAATGGTGGTTCCCAACCAAAGAAGATATGCTGTATGTTGTACAGTAGCACGTTGACAGAAAACCAGTGTCTCTTTCAAAAGAGTAAATTCCACAGACCAAAATTCGTAGAACCAAACGAACTACCATGGTTGTTTCTTAAGTATTTATTAATCAGCCACAAAAGTCTTCCACCATCTCTTGCTTTCTGTTGCAGTGAAAGTATTTTGAACTGGACATAACTCTGAATCATGAACATGTGCTAGATAGAATTGTTAGTACTTCAGGACATTTCTCAAATAGTTACTCAAATAGTTCTGGCCATTTACAGATGTGAAGTGTACTTGGCTGAAATTTTATACACAGTTGCAAGTATTTTTATATAAAGGGAAACGGTCTTTTAGAGCTGGAATTGCGTTTTCCATATTGATGTCTTTTTGGATAGTCTAGTCTTCCACCTTTCTAATGTTTTCTAATTATTGGATTAATGTTGAGAAACCTCACTTGGATTCCTTGCATATAGAATCATAGAATGGCTAGGGTTGGAAAGGACCTTAAAAATCATCAAGTTCCAGGTTGCTCAAAGCCTCATCCAGCCTGGCCTTGAACACCTCCAGGGATGGGGTATCCACAGCTTTTCTGGGCAACCTGTTCCAGTGCCTCACCACCCTCACAGTAGAAAAATTCCTCCCTAATGTCTAGTCTAAATCGACCCTCTTTCAGCTTATACCCGTTACCTCTTGTCCTCTCACTACACTTCTTGATAAGGAGTGCCTGTGGATGTATCTGTTTTGTTCTGGGCTTTTTTTTTTTTTTTGGTTTTGGGGTTTTTTTGGTTTTACGTCTCTGTGGAAATATAATAGTGTCACAATTTTTGTTCATGGTACCTAGATAGGTGGGTACATGGTGCACATTCAGCTGTAACAGCCCTCAGTCTGGTATATATGTGTGTGTGCTCAGTACAGCTATGTCAGAAACATTCAGTTTGAAAAGACTTTTTTTTTTTTTTTTAATGAACTTGGACAGACACAGGAAGTGTTTATTTTTTTTCATCTTTATCCACAATTAACTCAGTTTTGTAGATGTTCTTTTATGTCTTCTAATCAGGACATAATGGAATTTTCAAGGGAAAAGCCATGGGAGGCTATACTATGATAATTCTCTGTTTTATCCTTCTTGTAAGAGGGTGTGTGTACTTTGACCTTTAAAATAGAGAAAACACAAAAGATTTATGAGTGTTTGGGGGAAAATTCCATGCTTTGTGACTGGGCGTATGTCCTGCTAGCCACAGTAGTTCCAGAATGATCTATCTGTAGAGGGTTGAATGCAGCAACCTGTTGCTATGTTAGCTGCTACAAGTATGTTTGTTTATGCAAGATCCTTATTCTGCTGTCTTTATAAGAAATAAATTATTTTTTAAAGAATGGTATTTATGGTGTTTCTCTGTGTGTTGTCCCCCCTGCATGCATGTGCACACACACACACGTCACACATACATGCACACACACACACACACGTCACACACAGAGTCTCACTGCTGTAACAGCAAATTATCATTAGTTTATATCATTAGTCATTAATAAACTATGTTATTGTATGCTATCCATTTACTTAACAGTACTAACACTACTGCATTTACTTAACATTTACTAACAGATAGTAATTGACTGCCATTAAAAAAGGTCAAGATAATGTAGGGAATAAAATCATTCTTAAAGAACATCAGTTACATTAACTTAAAGATAGGATAACTTAAAGAATTAGTACCTACAGGGGTGCAGCCTGAGAAACAAACAGTGGGAACTAGATGGCTGTGCAGCCACAGAGCTGCAGCATCATAAGAATCGCAGAGCTGGTGGGGTAGCTTGAATGACTGGGTACTGTGGTGGATCGATACATGTGAGGAAGATGTGCATGTGCACTGTGCAAAGGAGTAGCTTAGATGCACAGGGGTATGCTACAGAAGAGGCAGTCAGCCTGTTGAGAATTCATATGCCAAATAATTGCAGAGATGCACTGCGGATTTAATTTAGTGCTGCTTTCAGAGTTCATCTAAAACACTTCCTATTTAACTCACCTGAGTCTACTGAGTTGAGAAGCGTAGTAAGTCAATTAAGTTTGGGACTTAGGTTGTTAACAAACTCAAAATTAGTTGGATATAGATTATTAGAATGTCACTAATCTATTCAGTTTTGTATTTATCACAGTAAATAAAACTGATGAGTTTGTGAGAAATTAGACCATCAAGATCCGGTTCCCAGAAATTTTGTTTTCCTTAGGATAAAGGATTCCAACAGTGCTGGAAAGAAAATCACTTTCCTGCCCACTGAGGCAGGATATTTATCTAAAAAGCGGTCACAGAATAAAAGGAAAAGGTTACAGTGACAATACATGTGATTTATTCTAAAACTCGGTTACTGAGGCTTCCCCTGAGCAGCTTTCCCAAAAAGAAAGTGTCTGCGGGGATGCTAATTTTCATGAAGTCTTTGAAACTTAGAATAATAGAAATGCCTGCTGACAGCTCCAAAATAGTACGTGAGGGTACCTGCTAAACTCACAGGACAAAGGAGCAGCACACTGACAGTGTCCTTGTGACTCGCTGGGTGTCTCAAAGTTTCTTCTAATGGAGTGGCCCTGTGTGGTCACAGAGGCTCCAAGTGGGAGCACCAGTAGTGACCCTTCCCTACAGCTTCAGGGGGAGTTGTTGCTCGCTGTGTGTCCCGCTGGATGGCACTGCTGATCCACATCAGCCACTGATGCTGTCCAGGCAGTATCCCTATACTCTTTGCCAGAATTGCTTCAAGTAATCAATTATACTCCCTTCTCAGACATGGCAGCAAGCAGATGCAGTTATAGAAAAGCCTATGAGAAAATCAATATGTTTTTCTGAGGCTTATAGATAGGGGATTTGCTGCCTCTTCTTTGGTGGGTATCAATATCAATTTGTAGGATAGGATGAGTATTGAAGCTAACGAGAATATCTGGAGTCGCTGTCAGGAGGATGTATGGAAATAACTGCTGGCGCCATTGCAAGGTGATTGACACTTCAGTCTGTGATTTAGTTTTTGTGCCATTTTAGTGCTAGTGGTTCTGGATAAATTATTTTCCATACGTATAAGAGTAAAGAAATAATATTCCTGAGCCAATTACAGAAGGTGATGTTAAAGAAAGAGTTTGTGCTTAAATCTCAGGCCAGAGGATGTTTGCACAGAGGCTGCTCTCAGTTCCCTCAGGAGGGTGAAACTACAAATCAAGAATGTATGTAGCTGTATAGCATGTATGTTCAATGGGTGAGACAGAGTAAACAACAAAACATGATGGATCTGGACAGAGGGGTATATTTAAGAACCAGTGAGATTAGATTATCTCACAGGCTAGCTCACTCCCCCCCCCAGCATTATATTCACCATGTCTACCCTTCCCAGCAGGGGGGTCACGGCTGCTCCAGGGTCAGGCATAAAGTCCAGTTCACCTGCTCACAGCTACCAGTCTGGGCATTACCGGCCAAGGTCCCTGGGCATGTGTTCCAGTCTCTTAACCAACTTACTGGCCCTTTGTGGTATTCTCTGTAGTTTATATCTCACACACTGCAGGCTCAAAACTGGACACCCTTCTCCAGATTCATACCCGCATGTCCTGGAAAGAGAAGAATGAGCACTTGTCCTTGATGTAGCCCAGCATGTGGTTAGCCTTTATCACTGCATGGACACACTGCTGAAACCAGGTTCACTGGTCCACCAGGAGCTCACATCCCTTTTGCGGAGCTGCTCCTGAACCAGTCAGTCCCTGACCTGTATCGATGGGCACTGTGTTCCCTCCAAGATGCAGGACTTTACATTTGTCTTTGCTCAAGATCTGGAGGTTCCTGAAGCACCTGTTGGCTCCTTGAGTGCACACTTGCAATATTCCTGGCTGTGCTTGCACAACGAGCCTAGTGTGTCTGGGAACTCTGGCCTTGCACATGACAGCATGCAGAATCAGCCACCTGACAGGAGAGGAGAAAGGCATTCAGTTTTCTCCTCAAGGCTGAAATCAATCAAGCCATCTGCTCCATCAAAAAAGTTGAACACTACTAGTCTTAGAGCCTCAAAATAAATTCCTCTATAGTTTGGCAAACTGGTGCGAGATAAAAGCTGTGAGTATGAAAGGCTGATACAGTCCCAGAAATACATTTCAACAAGCTCTGAAAAGTCTTGCATTGTGAAATTATCCTGGTGACATTCTAGAAACTTCTACTGTACTCATTAAATTGTTTTATACTACTGTCTGCAAAGTGATAACAATAAAATAAACAGTTGTATTTGTTCTCAAGAATGACAATCAAGGAATTGGGGTAAGTTCAGAGTGTCTAAGGGCTATATTTCTTAATCAATAGTATCTGTTGATAAAGGGATATAGTTTGGTGTGGCATCTCTCTTATCTTCTCCACAGACTTGAATTATGAAGGCAATTCCACAGCCTGATGTCAGGGGAGACGTGTTCTACAAATGTGAACACATAAGGGCCACTTGCCAAGAACAAAACCAAGCCTTTTCCTCTACTTTGAATCAAATCCAGTTTGGCTTTTGTAAAAGTTTTTTATACAAGTTTCCGTAGCAAATTATTCCAGAC